GTCTGAAATCCAGGTGCTGGCAGGTCTGGTTCCTTCTGAGGCTGTGCGGGGCGTTCTGTTCCGCATCTCTCTCCCAGCTTCTGGTGGTTGCTGGCATCTTTGGTGATCACTGGTTTGCAGACACGACATCCTGATCTCTGCCTTTGTATTCATGTGGCATTCTCCCTGTGTGTGGGTGTGTGTCCACATTTCCCCTTTTTATAAGGACCCCAGTCATGTTGGATTAAGGATCTGCCCAACTCCAGTATGACATCATTTTAACTAATTACATCTGCAGTGACTCTATTTCCAAACAAGATCACATTCTAAGTGCACAGCTCAGCGGCATTAAGCACGTTCACATGGTTGTGCAGCCGTCACCACCATCATCTCCAGAACTTTCTCATCTCCCCAAACTGAAGCTCTGTCCCCATTAAACACTCACTCCCCATCCCCCTCCCCAGCCCCTGGCACCCCCCATTCTACTTTCTGTGTCTGTGGATCTGACGACTCTAGGGACCTCCTGTGAGTGGGATCACACAGTGTTTGTCCCTGTGTGTCTGGCTTATGTCACTGAGCACAGTGTCCTCAGGGTTCATCCACGCTGTAGCACGTGCCAGGATTCCCTTCCTTTTTGAGGCTGAAGAATATTCCACTGTGTGAATGGGCCACGTGTGTTTATATATTCGTCCCTCCGTGGATACTTGGCTTGTTTCCACCTCTTAGCCACTGTGCATACATAGCTGCAGAACGGTTTTCAGTTGACGCCAGCTGACTCATCCTGTGCCCAGGTTAGTGCAGGGAGGCTCACAGCACCGGCAGGTCCCCCTCTGGCACTAGGTGGTGAGAATAGTATGGGCTACTCCCCACCTGGCTCACCTTCTCTACACCGAGGGGGTCTCTCCCTTACCCCATCCACCTTGGGGTCTTAGGGACTTGAAGGTTGTGTCTTNCGGGACCAGGTACGTCATCAGCAGCCTGGAGCTCCTGGTTGCCGAGGACGACATGATCGTGTACCTGAATGGTGCCACCCCCCGGCGGAGGATGCCCGGCATAGGCTGGCTGAAGAAGTGTTACCAGATGATTGACAGGAGGTGAGGGGGTGGGCCTGGGAACCACCTAGGGGGGCAAGGGGTGCCAGTGGGGGCGTGAGAAATCAGCCAGAGCAAGGGACCCAGAGTGGTCAGGACTTTCTGGAAGGGGGTGTAGTACTTTGCTAGGGCTGTCATGACGAAGCACCACAAATTGTGTGGCTTAAGCAACAGAAATTTGTTCTCGCTCAGTTCTGAAGCCCAGAAGTCTGAAATCCAGGTGCTGGCAGGTCTGGTTCCTTCTGAGGCTGTGCGGGGCGTTCTGTTCCGCATCTCTCTCCCAGCTTCTGGTGGTTGCTGGCATCTTTGGTGATCACTGGTTTGCAGACACGACATCCTGATCTCTGCCTTTGTATTCATGTGGCATTCTCCCNCCACCACCACCATCATCTCCAGAACTTTCTCATCCTCCCCAAACTGAAACTCTGTCCTCATCAAACACTCACTCCCCATCCCCCTCCCCAGCCCCCGGCACCCCCCATTCTACTTTCTGTGTCTGTGGATCTGACGACTCTAAGGACCTCCTGTGAGTGGGATCACACAGTGTTTGTCCCTGTGTGTCTGGCTTATGTCACTGAGCACAGTGTCCTCAGGGTTCATCCACGCTGTAGCACATGCCAGGATTCCCTTCCTTTTTGAGGCTGAAGAATATTCCACTGTGTGGATGGGCCACATGTGTTTATATATTCGTCCCTCAGTGGATACTTGGCTTGTTTCCACCTCTTAGCCACTGTGCATACATAGCTGCAGAACGGTTTTCAGTTGACGCCAGCTGACTCATCCTGTGCCCAGGTTAGTGCAGGGAGGCTCACAGCACCGGCAGGTCCCCCTCTGGCACTAGGTGGTGAGAATAGTCTGGGCTACTCCCCACCTGGCTCACTTTCTCTACACCGAGGGGGTCTCTCCCTTACCCCACCCACCTTGGGGTCTTAGGGACTTGAAGGTTGTGTCTTTATCCTGCCACAGGACCCACGAGTNCCCACACAGATTGCGGAAAAACCTGAAGTCCTTGATTATTGTCCACCCCTCCTGGTTCATTCGGACGGTGCTGGCCATTTCCCGCCCTTTCATCAGGTGAGACAATGAGGTTGTCAACTGTGTGTGCCACCTGTGCGTGTGTTTAATCTGCATTTTCCAGCTTCTCTATGATGAATGTATATTACTGCCTTTAAACAAATTTAAATTACAAATACATATATATGTATATATTTGTATTAGTCCATTTTGTGTTGCTTATAACAAAATA